TACAAAAATAATATATTTTTATAAATATATTATATTTTTATTTTATATTGTTAATTTACAAGTTGACTAATATAAATTCTAAAAATTATAAATCCTATAAAGAATTATTATATAAACCTTAACGTACTTAAAGTAATATTTTTGCAAAGACTTTTTGCTAGAATGGTCTCATCTTTAGAAGAGAGTTGATTATTATAGATTTCTAAACATGTTAGAGTATGATTTTTACGGAGAGCCTCAGCTAATACTTTTGCACCCTTAAAATAAAGCCTATTATTATTAAGATTTAATCTAGTTAACCCAGTATTCTTACAAAGGGCTTCAGCCAATGCTTCTACTCCTTCAGAGCCGAGTTGATTATTTTCAAGTTCTAATGAAGTTAGAGAGATATTTACACAAAGAGCCTCCGCTAATGCTTTTCCTCCTTTGAAACTAAGCTGATTGTTAGAAAGATCCAAGGAAGTTAAAGTAGCGTTTTTATGAAGAGCTTCAGCTAGCACTTTTCCTCCTTCAAAGCCAAGTTGATTATGAGAAAGATTCAAACTAGTTAAAGTGGAGTTGGTACAAATAACTTCAGCCAATAGTTTTCCTTCTTCAAGTCCAAGTTGATTATTTTGAAGATTTAGATAAGTTAGAGTTATATTCTTGTGAAGAGCTTTAGCCAAAGATTTTACACCCTCAAAACCGAGTAAATTAACGGAAAGATCCAAAGAAGTCAGAGTCTTGTTTTTACAAAGAGCTTCAGCCAATTCATTTCCACTTTTGAGTTGATTATTAGAAAGATTTAAATGAGCTAAAGTAACGTTTCTATGAAGAGCCTTTGCTAATATTTTTCCGCCTTCAAAGCCAAGTTGGTTACTAGAAAGGTTCAAGCTAGTTAAAGTGGAGTTTGTGCAAATTACTTCAGCTAATAATTTTCCTTCATCAATCCCGAGTTGATTATTTTGAAGATTTAAACAAATTAAGGAAGTATTCTTATGAAGAGCTTCGACAAATGCTTTTACTTCATCAAAACCAAGCTGATTGCTACTTATACTTAGACAAGTTAAAGTTGTATTTTTACGAAGAGCTTCAGCAAATGCTTTTTTTCCTTCAAATCCAAGCCTATCATCGTAGATTTCCAATGAGGTCAGAGTCTTATTTTTGCAAAGAGCATCAGCTAATAATTTTGCTTCTTTCGGACCAAGTTTACAATCACGAAGTTTTAAAGAGATCAGAACGATATTTTCACAAAGAACTTTAGCTAGAGTTTCTACTTCTTTAAAACTAAGTTGATTATCAGAAATATCAAAGGAAGTAATAGTGGTATTTGTATAAAGAAATTCTAATAATTGATTTATTATTTCAATATTAATGTTTTTATCAAACTTTAAATCTTTAATTTTTTCACTTGTTCGTAAAAACATTGAAATTAAGGAACAACTCATTGCTTTAACGACATTTTTAAGCCTTCGAGATTGATTATAATATTCATTTTCATTACAGCAAAGCCAATTTATGATTCCATGTTCTAAACTATTACAGCTAATAGATGTAGTGTGTGACGCGTAATCAAATAATGTTTTTTGACCAATTGGAAGTCTTATATTTAATGGGATTAATAACGAGATTAATGGAGCTTTTTCTTCAGAATTTAATGTTAAAAGGTAAATTTCTATAAGTCTTTTATCATTAAAGTGCGATAATGGTTCATTCCATAATATTGGAATAACATTTTGACACCATTGACGATTTACAAGAAGGCATGAAAATAAAAATCTATAATAGTTTCTAAGATTATTGAGTATTTTGAAAAGGCACTCATTTGGTAATGTTAACATTTCGAAAAAAATTAAAGGTTGGATTTTAATAAATCAATATAAAACGTAATGCGTGAGAAAAAAAAACTTTAATATATATGAGAGGCACATGTTAAACGCTATATATATAAGCTCTAGAAATCATGTGTTGTAGTACAATTGTAAATGCCATTTATAAGTTTCCTTTTCTAAATATATATGCATGTCCCTTTTTCTTTTATTTATTATTTGTTTTTATATTTAAAAATAAGATAGATTTCTAGCTTATGGATTTAAAGTCTAGAATTTAACACGATTTACCGCATGAGACTACATTGCTATCATCTTAAGGTGACATTACTGCAATTGGAGAATAGAAAATATAATAAAATCTTGAACTTGACGCTAAGAAGTAAATACGTGTTTTTCATAAACGACAGTATTTCAATCTGTATTTATAAAATAAACGCAAGTTAATTCCATTTTTATTACATTTAAGCTTGTTATTTGAAATTTGATTCCCTATTCTAATAAATAATTGACATAAATGTAATAAGTATTATAATAATGAAGAGACTATATTTGTGTACTTTATTTATTCCTTCGTCGAATTTCTATTATTAATCAATTCATTATTGTTATGATGTGACCCAGATTTGCTTGGACCCGAGTTAGATACCCGAATTATGACACCTATATTAGTAATGATATTCGTGAAGATCAAACAAATTCGTTATTTTCGGAACAAATAAGAATGTAGAATTTGTGTAATGAAAAATCGTGAACGAAACCTATATCGATATGGCTTATGTTTAATCGGTCCTACAATAATTATCAGCAAGATTTGTAGAAAATTGATATTTTTAACTAGTATTCGTTCAATAAATAAAAGTTATAGAAAAGCCATTACTCTATAACGGTTTTTGCATTAGTTTCGAGTAATTTAGATGGGACCGACTAGGGACCAAAAAGTGCGGAAAAAGTTTTGTTAAAACCCGATAAACTTCTATTAGAGACTGTTATAGAAAAATAACTTTTCTATAACTTATTGAGTGAATGCTAGTTAAAAATACCAATTTTTTACAAATCTTGCTCAAAGTCTGCTGATAATTACTACAGGACCGATTAACATCTCTACTTATGACACATTCGCTATACCAATTTTAATTGTATTTGAGAAAATAAACATCAAACCTTTGCAAATCGATCTTGTAAAGCAAAAAAAAATCTTAAAACTGAGATTATATAAATTTATAAATTTTGGATACCCATATGAAACGTGGTAAAATCTAAGACATGGTTATTTCAATGATAACAAATTTTAGAATAAACAAAAAAATCGGAAAAACAAAATATAACAACGGCATTAAATAACCAATAAATATTGTGTTACTAGAGATGGGCAAGGTAATCACTTATTACGTAAAAAATCACATCTTATAATGTGACAGTTTAGCATTGTATTAGTTGCAAGTATATATTTTTAGAAAATCGTCGCATTGTGTGATGTGACTTTTTACGTAATAAGTAATTATTTTGCCCATTTCTATGAGTGACTGTGCAATTTAGCTGCATTGTAACTCAAATCCCCGAAAGCCATTTTCCCGTAGGTACGACTTACATAATCATCTAATGCAGGTCAATTGATTCGCTTTAGAGTACAGCAGAGACAGTGCCCGATCCAAAGTGAATCCCTCTCGCCTGTGATCAATCACAAATTAAATTATTTATGTTGGATTCAATTGTGATGGATATAATCCCTCACCAGTTTCAATATACGTGTAACATTAACGGTCTCTGCTGTCGCTTTAGAGAAAATGGCTATCGGAATATCGTATTATAACCATTAGACCAATTTAGCACAGTCATACCATTCCCAAAACGCCTAAAATCATTAAATTGCAATTACGATAATTACGTGTACGTAATAAACTCGAGTTAAATTAAAATTAGCACAAGGAATACTAACCTGGAATCTGTCCGAGATTTATCCTGAAAGAGGAGATATATCAGTGTTTAAAATAAAAATTTAAATTGATTATACATGATCCGAAATAATATTCCAGGACATTGTTAGGTAAATATAGTAAAACCTGATTATTATTTCAAATAATTTAATTTAATTTTAAACGTGTTAATAATTGAGATTCTTTTGAAAAGTAAAACAGTTCTTTAGCAAAATTATTCATTAACTTATCCCTAGTAAATTATAATGATGCGAATCTCCGAAGAAACGTTTCATTTTTTTCGATATAATTTAAAAGAAATGCTCGAATTATTAAAAAAAAAAAACCACTATAATAAGGCTTAATTACGTATGAATTAACGACGTTTTTTAATATGTGATAGACCAGTATATTATTACTACAAATTTCACATTAAATATTTGTAATTAAAGCACAGAAGCCAGTCTCATATAAATTTCGGTCCACAAGCTATTTTTTTTTAAAAAAAAATCGGGTCATATTTAAATTTTGTAATACATCTAAAGTCGCAAACATTAGAACATCAATAACACAGCATGTCGTAAATAATGACGTGAAAAGGTAGTTACTTTTGACCTTCTTAAATGTAATTACATCTGATCTCGAAATTTGAAACTGGAGTATTATGGAGGTTCTCTCTTGCCCTCTGAGTGATCTAGCTATGTCCGTTTTCTGCATTAAAGCACGGTGTCTATCCATTATTTTTAAATTGTATAAGTTTTCAACTTCGGGCATACTGTACAGTTTCAAGCTCTTAGTAAAAACTTAATACCGTATTTTCGCGAAATAACGGACATGATAGTTATTTAGAAAACCACATTCCCTCAAAGAGTTTGTGAGACTTCAAAATAACGCCCATGCGCATCCCTAAATAGCGCGCATCCCATAAATACGGTATTTGTGATATAAGTACTGGTTTTCTTCTGGCACTACTGCTTATATATAACGCATATATTGTCGTTACTTAGAAAGGCAAGTTTATTAAAAAAAATCAATTTTTGTCTCGAAATAACGCCTATTTATGTACTCCAATTAACACCCATATACTCAATAATGCGCAGGTGGGTGTTATTTCGCGAAAATACGGTACATAGAATCTATACCAAATCAATTTCGCATAATAAATTTAATTCAAAAGAGCTTTTTACATATCGATTCATTTATCATATTTATTAATTTTACATTTATTGATACTAAATAGTTAGCTTCTTTATTGTACTTTCTGATTACCTTAGGTTTATCCTTGTACATTAGTAACAACTTGATTATTTGCTACTTCAGAATCTTCAATTGTTCTAGACGTTGTTGCAGATTCAACAATTGCAATATAATCAGCAATAACCTTGGCAAAATAAATCTATAAAATCCGAATTAATTAATAACTTAATCATTTTATGATTATTGAACAATTTTAAAATTTGAATTAAATACATTAAACATACCCCAATTAATGGTCCAATGAAGTTTTTAATTGTAATATCTATAAAAAAGTCAAAGAATTCATACGAAGAAATAACAACGGTAAAATAGATAGCATGTATCAAATGAAGAACTATGATAAGAATATAAAGACCAAGAAAGATTTTCAAAAGTCGTGCTGATCCCTGTATATTTAATTAGAAAATGAGGATTGCAAACTTTGCAAAATATATTATTAGCAATATGCAAGACATACCATGGAACATACAACAATAATTCCAAACACAGTCACTAAAATCGTCAGAGAATTTATAATTAAAGCATATTTAATTACTATTTCAAGAGTTTCTAATACAGTAAACAAGCATATTAGCACTTGTCAAGTAAAGAAAATTAAGTAAATAAATAAGACTTACTATATACGTTTGAATAATAATCCTTAACAGCGATAAGTTGAAACTCAATATTTTGAATAAGGTTATATATTCCTATGATCTAGTTATGAGGAATCGACAAACGCACCTTAGTCGTTAAATAAATGTAAAAATTTTTTTTCAAATATTGAAAACGACATACTAGCCAAAATATTGCTATAGTTATCACACCCGCTCTCATAGGAATGCAGCCGCAACATTTGTCCATTCGAGCCATAATTATTAGATGAAAAGAAATTTCTCGCAAATTAGTATTTTCATAAAGCACTGGATTATATACGAACTGACATTCATTTAAGGATCAAATATAGTATAAGAAACACTTACTATAAATGTTTTTTATTAATGGCGTCCCTTATATTTACCATATTTGATCTTTTATTTAATATAATGAACTATTAACTTGGCTAAAATTTGATAGTTTGGATTTGTTTGGCTTGAAAATTTCATTTATAGTAATTTGAAGCACAACATTGCTTAAAATCTATATGCTAAACTAACGCCATATAGTGTCCCTCTAGAGAGGGTTGTGAAAAACAAATCTACGTATACGCTGCACCTGCATATGTACTATGATCACATATGTTACGCATACTTTTTTGAACTTCTATTATACTTAAAGTTTTTCCACATTTCCGCAAATTAAAATAATCTTTAAGTTTAAACACCGATTACAACTATAAGTTTCTCAGGATAACGCCAACTTTGGTACAATAACAAATGGAATATGTACAAAATGACGGACCAAATTAATTTCATTCATTCTCTAGAAACCCGGGGGGTTTTCTTTTTTTAGGAAATGATTTTAAAGCAGTGCTTAGTACCCCGCCAAATCAAATCAAAATTTAAATTTGAATCAAATATTTGAAAATATTGGATCAACTTTTTAAATATTTTCAAATGAAAATTTATTAGTTTACACATAGTGTTTATATTTATGAATTCATACAATGAATAAATGACATACCAAAAAAATTAATCTGGTTTAAGTTAGAGTAAGGTTAGCTCTAGGATTAGGAATGGTTTGAGATTATACTAAAATTTTGTCATAAATGTTTTTATTAGAATCTTAAAAGTGTTTTATAATCAGGATTTTGAAATATCAACATACCTGTGTACATACACATAATGTACAAATAAAATTGCCTTTTCAAATATTTGATTCAAATTCAAATTTTGATTTGATTTTGCAGAGTACTAAGAACGCTATTGTATAATTGGCTGAAGTTGAGGAGAACAGAATGTAAGGCTTTCAAGTCTTACTCTACGAATTTTGACATGTCTGGCTCTAGATCAAGGATTTAATTTAGGCTCAGCATCTAGAAATTTGTCCAAAATTAGGTTCAAGTTTTGAATACCGAAATATTTGAAATATGCGTCTTAAAATATAATAGTTGATTTTTAATAAAAATAATCTTGCCTGAAATAATGATGAGCTTTTAAAATAAAAAAATATAATTTAATAGATTAAACATCAATAAGGTACGTACGCAATCAGTTATTAAGTCTGCATAATAGTTATTTTCTTGATATATAACAAAATCTGTCAATATTAAATATCGTACTGAAAAAAACTATTAATATAATTCGTTATATTGAAAGTCATTTGTCGGTGATAAATTTTTAAAACGCAGAAGAAATTGCATTGGCATCAATTATAATAATCATAAAATTAAGCTAATCAAGAGTGATGTTTGATATGTTTTACCAAATTAGAGATGAGTAATTTTATAATTACTTATTATTTACAATCTTCTCTTTTAAATTTCTTGCGTAATAAAAAATAAGCAAATCGCGACCTGATCAGCAGATTGTTGTTTAAGATTTACTTTCCAGATTACATTTACAAAACGTGATAAGTAGTCATAGGCAATAATTAGTTATTACGGGCTTTCATTGTAATCTCAAACTTTTTATTGGCTAATTGAATTCATACACAAATAAAAATCGTCACGAATAAAAACAACTATGTACAAAAATAATTATATTTGTGAATAAATTAATACTAGTAGAAGTATCCTAGAAAACTAATAACTAATAAAAAAAAATAGGTATACAGTAATCGACTTTAGTGATCTTCTAATATCAGACTGTCTTTAATTTTATTAAAATCAGTTTATATTTACTATGACACTTATTTGCTTTAACTCTCTTCTTAAAATCTGACTTCCAACTTTAAATTATTAGCCTATATTATAGTCAAATTTCTTTAGTAGTTGGAATTACGAAGAATACGTTTTTACAACTTACCAACAGTGCATAAATTGCAATGTATTATGATAAGATGATCTGCAAAAATCGCCTAGTCATTACTTACATTATCCACTAATTTTCCTCCGAGTTACTATTGATCGTGTAAATCGCATTTCTAATTGGATAAAATCGACGATCTTTAATAACGTGATGCATCTACAGTGAATCAGAGAACAAGATCGAGGTAACATAAAAATTAAAAAAACAATCGGTTATTTTTGAAAAGACTCATTTATCTCAAAATTTCGCATAATAATCAACTTTTGCGTACTAACAAAAAAAAATTCCTTACAATATTTTGTTATAATATCATCTATTAATTCTGACATTAATCTTAAATCTTTAAGGATAAAATGAGACGCAAGATTGTAACCCCGGAAGCATGTGGAAGGACGAATTAACGGCTATGTTGATCATTTACCTAAAATGGGTTCCTGCATTAAGTACTACAAGTCGTTGCGGGTCTCTAGTGTTATTAATGCAATAAGAGAGAACTGTAATTAGTGGGATTTATAGGAATTAAGGGGTTTAAATGGTATAATTAGTTCAAGGGATAAGTCACAGATGACATGTTTAATAGCTTTAGAGGGCAAAAGTATATAATAAAGGCGTTTCACCCTAGAAGAAAATAGATCGTGATCCCAATAAAATTCGTCTTCTTTATAATCACATATCTCCCTACGTTATAATAAAATACTTACCTTTCGATCTACTGCTTAAGTGGCATAAGTGGTACGATCGTCGTTCTTGTAATCTTGCTCACGTAATATCGTAAAGTGTGCTGTTATCCGTTCGGTTGATTCTCGACGTACTGAGGACTACCGTAGTTGTTTTCCAACTCTCCCAACGTACCATGGACAGTCGAGGTTATTGTATTCCGGTTTGAGGTCCAAGAGGAAGGTCCCAGCTGTGGTTTTGATTATAATTATAGTGTAGATACAAGAGTTAGTGTGTTAGTATAAAAAGATTCAAAAAAAGTTATATCTACGATCTTAACCCCACTCGCCAAATAGAATTGATTCTTTCGACTAAGCCGTTCGTAGGTTACACGACGTCCCAGGTTGTGGACCGACTGACTCGCTGTTTGGAGTTGTCACTATAAATTACACATTATATTATCCAATTAAATTGCATCTCTTCGTTATAAATTGATTGCTTTTATTTAAGAGTCGTTGGAACCTGCTGTCTGATAGTGTAAAATTAAAAGGAGTGAAAATCATCTGTGCTATCTGATGAGGAATCAATTTTGTTATCACTCAAATATATTAAAATTGCAGCTCCGATAAATCGAAAGTCAACCGTATGCGTTAATCTTTAGGGAAGAAACATGCCATAAGTCTTCATTCATAAATGTCATTCTAGGAGGGCATCTTGCTAAATTATAAATTCAGGGTGAAATAGTGATACCGCAAAAATTTGGCGGTACTGTGATCTCCAAGCCAAATCAGAATGGCAAGTGTTCAGAAAATCACTTGTCAATTTGATTTGAACCGATCAGCTTGGATGTCACGGTGCCTCAAAATTTTTAAGCCATCACTATCTTACTCTAAATGTATGTATGCAAAAGCAGAATAATTTATTTTATCCAATCAAGGAAACATTTACATTTACCCAATAACAATTAAAAATACGAACCGACCAGGGACCCGGGACGTCATATGACGGACTTGATGAAGCATGAGTTATCTCACGAGTTCGGTGACATATAGGGGCCACACGCCGTCCGATGATCTTCGCAGAATGATAACTCTGGCCTTTAAAAGATGTGACAATCTTAAAGGTGCCTAAGGACAGCGAAGGAAGGTGAAAAAAAAAAATAAATAAAAAATACGAACTGTTTAACTGTTTAAAGATTGCACCATAGTTCCGGGCAGAAATAAGTTGATTGTGGGTCAGCATTATTTTAATATTGGCGATTAAACAGTTAAATTAAACAATTGGAAAAATTCTAGGTAATTCCAATCCCTAATCACAATCAGAAATGAAGAAAGAAAATTATTAGACACACTGTTAGAGTTATAACATGATACAATGCCATCATAACTTAACATGTGTTTAATTAATTTCGGGTGTAGATCGGTTACCAAAGATCGAAGATCTGTCTTGAAACTTGACATTTTTATTAAATTTTCGCTTTTTATCTATTTTTAATAAAAAAAAGGTTATCAGGTGATTAGTCAATGTAGAGTACCCTCAACAAAAAAATTTGCAATCACATTTTCTACATCGGAATCAGATGTCAAATTCAATAGAATGAAATACATACTCAAAATAAAATTGGTTGATTAACGTTAGGATGATTATAAGAAAAATTTTAACTACGTTACACTAAGTTTTTGTCCAAAAAAAATTTTTTTTTTGCCATGACTATCCTACGTATTTGATGAATCATGAACGAAACTTCCGTAAGTGTGACAAAAAATTGTTCATGCCATCAATGATAGTATATACTAATCTAAAAACTTCTTTAGCCAATTAAATTTCAAGATTAAGCGTAAGGAAATGCAAAAAGCCAAAACAGTCAAATCCTAACCTTAATTTAAAGGCGAAAATTTTTTGTCCCATAAGATCACATTTTTACTAGGCTTATAGTAAAGTTTTGAATGATCGTAAGTAAAATTGGTTAAATCCAGCCCAGACGATAAATTTTGATCCGAGTCTTTTTGTAAAATGGACAAATTTTGAGGCCCGTAACAGCCGAAAACGAAATATTCTCTTTAAACTTACAATGAATAGTTCAGCGGCACCATTAATAATTTTCGCTAAAAACAAATTGTTTATTTAGATAGGATTTAATGATAAGCGTTGCAAAAGTTCAAATTTAAATTTTACCGCAGAAAAGTTGCAATTTAATCACTGTTCGATTAGTGTTCTGGCATATAAATGTCTTGTGGATCGTTCAAATTACATGTACTATCGAAACGGTTTAAGATAATAAATTTCTTCAATTATATAATGTATAATATGAATAAGCCCGATACACTGAAAATTTAAAGAAGTACTTACAAGTTTTACATTCATATCGAAATTTATTTACGATATCAATTCATAGGAAGATCCTGATTTATATGTTTCAAAGCCTTGCTATTTTACTAATAAAACATTAATGCAAGCATTAATTACAACTGTAGAAGAGGGCTAACTTTCACTTGCAAAAGACTCGAAAAGATCATAAATCTGACATACTTAGCTTAGAAACCAAAACATGGCGTCGTTTATTGGATCATTAACTGTTTAATTTAGGCAGGTATAAGTTCTTTAGCGGAAGATCCGGATTCAATGCCTTGTTCTAAAATGTTCGAATTTATCAACCGTTTCAGTTTAAGATTATAAATTGCATAAGTTCGTGTTTATCAGTAATAAATACCATTTTTACCCCGCTTTACTGTATTATTTATGTATATTTATTTAGATTTAAAGAGTTATATAATTTGATTGGTTAATTATCATGGTTTTAATCACGGTAGATTAACCAATCGGACACTTTTCCATACAGATTATCAATTGTTTTCCTGATCTATCAAACAACGTAATTATTTACTCGTATTATTAACATTTACTTTAAAAAAACAATTTCAATAACAGACACTTCGAAAATACAAAGTAAATGTTGAAAATGAAAAGTTTGAAGAACGGAACTGAGGTATAAGTTGGCATAGTCATAGATATTATAAGAAATTATTTATGCTAAAAATTCAATAGATTCTTTAGTATTTAAGAAGAATCCAAATATTAGAAGACAAAAATCAGGCCCAACTCAAAGTTACTGAAAATAAAATTCAAGATCTATACGACATGGAGAAGTCTAGTCAATAAATTTACATGATGTGGAAAAATGAGTGAAAGTAAATTTTAAATGCAAATGATATAAATAAACAAACAGTTAAAACACATATTACATGTAGAATGTAGTGTAAGTATTAATTAATATTTAATGTGTTTCGCAACTTAATACTGTTTTTGGCAGTTATGAGGTCTACTGGTCCTGGATAAGGGGTTAGTTATGTCTTTCTTATACTGTTTAAAAATGATATTATATATTGAATACTTTCGATTACACACTTAACACTTCTGGTATTTTTTATTTACACAAATATATATAACATCAGAACTGTTATGAACTCTGTAACATTTTAAAATATTTTTACAAATTATGAAATTATCAGTATATTACAAATAGAGTTCACATGGGCATGTTAATTTGTTAGGCATATATGATATGTTTCTATTTAACAAGTTAAAAGTTGCTGTGGGTTTGTACTATTTTTTGATATTATTTTTATGAATTGTGAAATTTTATCAATATGTTATAAAGGTTGATATTTTCAGATTTGTTACATGAATCATTGAACAAACTAAAAGTGCTTAGCAATATTCTTTGATCTATTTTTATGAATTATGAAATTCTTCAGGAATATTCTGTGTTGAAAGTGTAAAATATAGTTATATAAAGTGTTGAAAAACCTTATATATCTGTTGCTTTCACTAAGTTAATTGGTCTTATTTAGTATTTTTTTACTAATTTATTTTTTTTTTTTACAGTATTTCATAACTTTTATATTCTCATGACTTGAAACTAAGTTCTGTATTAAATTTAAATTTGAAGTTTTTAAAATCTCAATTTCAATTGTTTTTTTTTTTAGATAATTTCATTAATGTTTAGAATAAATTTTAAGTAGTGTTTATATATCTAATTTAATTACCTAGCATTACCCAAAAAATCAGTTATGTATCAGAATTTAAAATTAAGCATCAGTACTTAATAGTTCAAATAGTAATACTAATGGCTTATTGATAAATATATTGTGATAGCAGATTTTTAGATAGGATTTAAATAGAAATAATAAACAAATAATAAAGTAACTATGATGGCAAAGCATAGACTACTTATTCAATGCTAGTAAAAGTACAAGTATTGTCTTATAAAATCTCAGTAACTATTGTTAAACAGCACTTGTCCACCTCCAGAATAAGCTAAACCCGCTATAGATCATGCACTGCAAGTCACATGACCATAAAAGCCATTACCGTAATAGAAGAGTTCTGACCCTGAATCGACATAGTGTAATCTCAGGTTAAGGCATACAAGAGAAGATATAGAAGAAAGAAATTAGTAAAGACAAGTAGGTTGAAGGAAAGACTCAAGAGAAGAAGAGAATAGTACTTACCTATAGATGATAAAGCACTTATTCGATTATTACATAAGGCCTACCTTTGATTAGCAACAGATTCACTAATATAAAAGCTCCCATGATATTCATGGTTATTGTAAAATTGGAAATTGTAATACTGATTACCATGACTAATCACATGAAAAATGCATGAAATGCAATATGTGCAATAAGTTACATTTAGGATTGGAAAAAGTATTTCGGATCCAGAAGAATAGATAAGAAATAAGAGTAGAATATAAAGATAAATTATATATCTTTATAGATATTAAATAAATTACTGTAAATAGTTTTAATTAGTTTTAAAGAATCATAAGTGTAAAGTCATATTTGTGAGTGATGAATTTAAAGTTATAAATAAAGGCCGAAATGACCCTTGAGAGAAGTACACTTGGTACACTTTGTTTGCTTTATTAAATAATAACTCCCAATACCCTACATAGTATTTAATAAACACTGACACTATTATCATTACAAAACCTTGTAAACTCCTATAAATGATGTTGGTCAAACCCATGACCACATGGCTGACCCTACTTGCATTCATTGACCTAAAGTAACCAAAAGGTTTTCTTATCCACAAGCCAAATCTAACACCCTCTTTTGAAAAGGTTACTTGTTGTACATTACACAAGGTTTAGAATTTTGGAATGACCAAGTCACAATTTTCTAAACCCAACAATATATACAGATATATATTACAATGAAGCAATATACAAATTACATTTTAATTTATTTTCTTTTGTTTTTATTAATGTTATATTTTGAAAGAAGTATTAAATCTATCACCAATAAATAATATTCGAATCATCTTTTATATATAAATATATAAGTTAATTTCCTTAATAAATAATAATTTTAACAATTAGTTTTCCAAAATCAGTTTTTTATATACAAATTGCATTTGAAATTATTTTCTTTTTTTATTAATGCTACATTTTGAAAAAAGCATTAAATTCTATCTCCAATAAATAATATTTGAATTATCTCCTATATATGAATGTTTAAGTTAATTTTTTTAATAAATAATTATTTAACAATTAGTTTTCCAAAATCAGTTTTCTATAGTTAGCGAAATTAATTTTTATAAGTAATGAAATTATTGTTGAAATTATTTGAATTCCTAAATAAAATACATTAATGTAATTATTTGCAAAAAGTTCATATAAAATTATGACAATGGCGAATTTTTTATAAAATTATTTTTTTTTGAAAATAATTTAGACACCCATATCATTATATTATTTTTTTCAAAGTTTTTCTTTAATAGGCCAATCATATTTAAATATTTTTTCTTTATTGAGAAAAAGTTTCCAAATTTTCAATAAACTTTATCACTTATAAATTATGTTTATTAATATATAAAAAAATATTGTCAATTCTTTCTATGACAAACTGAAGTTCTGAAAACAAAAAAAGTTCATTAGAGAAAATTACTAGGTTTTCTTAAGGAATCATGGTACTTTTATATTAAACTATTATGAAATTTTATATATAGAGATTTATTATATTTAAAGCTGATTGTATAAAATAACTTGCATAATAATAAAATAAATAAATAGTACCTTTGCTGGTATTTCTTTTAATTCAATAGTTTTATCATTTGTAACTTCAACATCATTGGCATTTGAATCATATTTGTCCATACTTAAATCTATCTTGGCTTTCTTATAATTACAATATTTCACTTCAGGATTAGATAATGTAACAGGTATATAATTTGTTGGGATTCATAAAGAAATGAATATTTATTATTTTATTAACATATTGAACAAGAGTTGTTCATGGTTCCTAGTGGTGGTGAAACTAAATGTTTGTGAAGAGCAAACTTACTTTTAAAAAATATAGATATCAATAATGCTTTTTAAAATCAGATAAAATAAACCTTTTTTTTTTATATTCGCTTTTTACTTTCTTTAATACATGTTAAACATTCAGAAAGAATTTTTTTTTTACAAAAAAAGCTTCTGATTTCTGCTCAATTTGCAATATTAAGAAGTAAAAAAAAAAAGTCTCTTATTATAATTTAAAAAATTTATTGTTGTTATTACAATCTAAAATCAATTGCACACATTGAATCATCGGAACTATAAATTTGATTAAGTTTAAACCGTACCTGATTTTTTGGGCAATGCTTGGTTCGTGTACTAGATTTTGTTGGTAATACTAAGTGGGTTTTTTACCACTAGTTCTTATAAGCTTAATGTTACAAGTCAATTCTCAGAGCAAATCCAGCGTTACCACCAATCGAGGGCGCAGTCACGTGATATCCCAACCTCCTGATTTCATTTATCTATGCAAATGTAACAATCGATTCTCTTTACATTGAACCTTTTTATTTTATAACGAACCTACTCCATAAAGAACTTTTTTTAACAAGTTTATATAGGAACATAGTAAATTACTTTTATAAAGAACTTTTAAAAGCTTTACTATAAAAATTGATAGTTCATTCTAGAAAGCTAACTATATACTTCTTTTTCTATTCATTTATTATTTATATTTTGATAAAAATAGAGGTAGTCTTATATGTAGAATTCAAGAAAACACGATAAACAAATGACTACAACTTACCTACATCATAACGAAATTCTCAAGTTGAGAACAAATTCTTTACTGTAACTTACTTTATATCTGGTTGAAATTTAATAATTCTGTAATTCGAAGCTCTTTACTATGTCAAGAGTTCACTATAATAAGATTAATCTTATTTTGGCGGACTGGTTCTTTTTGTTAAAATTCTACAATCTTTTATAGCCTCGATCGAATTATTTATTTAATTGTGTCAATTTTGTTCATGAAAACAGATTCGTTTATAAACCCGAGGCTTACTACAGTATAACGAACTTCTTTGTAATGATCCCTGAACATAATGAACGTGAAATTTTAAATTATAATAGTTGAGTAGTTTGTCTTAGAACGCTACAGTCTTTTATTGTTGGTTTATGAATTCAGATTAGTTTATAAATCCAATTACAGCCAAAGCTTACTGTAACGAACTTTTTATAATAAATCCTAAATATTATGAACGTGAAATTTTAAATCTATATTGGTTGTGTTTGGAAAGTGTAGATTTGATATTTGATAATTCGATATCATTTGTACAATTAATTCAGGTTTTATAATTCATTTTAAATCTGTTCGTGATTATTATTTAGAAATTAAGTTTAGAATATGTCTAATTACTTATTCTAGACTAATTATAGCGGATTTATCTCTTATGTAACAATTAATAATCCTTCTCTTTAAAAAAACTTATCATATTGTTGCAAAAATACGCTCAGGTGTTATCTTTAAGTGCACAATTTTTCAAAGAACTAAATTTAGTTTTTAATTTTTTTTAAAAAAATATCTTTGTAAAATTAATTTATGCCTCTCCTGGAATTGGGTCTCCACGGAAGTTATTTTGCGACTTATTCAAAAAATCAAAAAAAACGCGAAAAGTAAATTTTAAAAAAATATTTGAAATCAAATTTCCGAAGAAATTAAGGTTGGGTATCACGTGACTGCGCCCTCGATTGGTGGTAACGCTTCTCATAGGAGGAAGATCGTCTGATTGGCAAATTTTTGTAGATCTAAATAATGAAAGAAACTTCGTATGAAGAAGTTATAAGTTAAACAAATATACAAAAGAATTAATTTATTTCCCTATGTAAAGTAGAGTAAAGGCGGTGGTATTCATTATTAATAAACCCAAACTCATTAATACAAACCAAATATTAAACCCGGAACTTCTTTTACAGTAAACCTATTTTTATACAAATTCAATAGTTAGTAATAAAAAGTTTTTGTTTAAATCTAACGTAATAAGGCAGTCTTGAGCAAAAACGTTTCAACTTATCTTTATTTCAGAATATTCTAATATTGTCAAATAGACGGCAGGTATAAGTAAAGTTCGTCGGGATTAAGACGATTTTGAAATGCTTTTGTATAGTAAATATTAACGTTCGTTTAAAGATAGAAATGACCTTTGTGACGATTTTTATTAGTGAAAAGTCACGTCATCAAAAAGTACTTTAAAATATATAAATAAGTTACCCAATCAGACGATCTTCCTCCTATGAAGTCAATTCTGTATTATTAAATTTAAAGTCAATTTTGAGAAGATGTTACATGAACATCATATATCAGATTTTCAATTGCCCATATAAATAGTTCGTGTAACGAGTTTCTCCTATGCTGACAACACTGCTATCGAATATAAGATAGCCGCGCGACGTTGTCACGCAAAACCAAGAACGGGACGTTTAATAAATTTATAATTTGTCGCAGTATTGAACATGTGATGTATGATGACGCAGATCCCGAAGGACAAATAAATTTTTAGATTTAAAGCAAACGTTCATTTGTCAAATTTACCTAATAAAAAAAGAATTTTCAAAGATACATCATCTTGTTAATTTTAATTTAAATACAAATGTTAATCTTTATAGTAATGAGTTTTAAAGAATTTTGCATTACTTGAATGTAGGGTTCTGCAAGTGCCAGGCACAGGCCTAGGCACCATTTTTAATAGTACGTGCCCGGCACTTGCAGAACCCTACTTGTAAAAATTTTTTAAAGCTTGTTTATATTAGGGTTAGGGTCAGGTTTAGGAATTAGAAGGGAGTAGTTTATACTGTAAAATTGCCCAACCAAAACTTTTTTTAGAGCACTAAAGGTGGTTACTTATGCTGGTTTTTGAGAAATAAGTAATTTTTGACAAAATGAAGGTTTGGTTTGAATTTTCATCAGGAAATCTGTGCTATAAGTCCGGCACACATTCAAGACGCGAAAGAATTTTGTTTATGGCACAAACCTGGCACACTTCTAAAGCTGCAATATATGCACTACGGTTATGTAACTGCATTTCAGATTTAAAATATTACTTCGTTTCTTATATTATCCCCCGTTCGTTCATTGTTATTTGTTTTTTATTATATAGATAACCGTTTGTGCAAATGTATCTTTTTATAAAATATGTTTGGTCAATGTTTTGAAATGGTAACGATGCAAATTCAATATTGCTAACTTTATTTAAATTCTGGTCATGGCTTTCAAGAACTCAAATTGATTACGATTACAATATAGCCTGCTACACATAGATAGAGAAGCCCAAGTTGCATATAGACAAAAAACCCACAATTTCTAACTACATAACTATAGAATAGTGCAATAAGCTCGTATTTATAATAAATACAGAAATAAGCAATCATATTATGCTTATAAAAAGAAATACCCAATAAAAAGCATGTATTTGTACAGAAACGCTTAACTTGTCACTTAACCATGCACTCCGTTCCTGGTATAAACAGCCCGAATAAAAGCAACCTCTCAAATTAGAACCGAAAAAATAGGCGAAGTTATTAATAAAATTAGACACCATACAAGCAACCCTTCACGTTTTCTTCATTTTTTGTAAAATTTTGGGAGTTTTTTCTTTTTTTTGACTTTCTCTCAGCAAACTGAGAGGCGCTTGTAGCGCTTTATTATGATAGTGTTATTACATAGTTATATACATTTTGGTTGTAACTTATGACAATAAGTTTTCTTAGGTGCATTTATTAATTTAAAGGTTTCTTTGTACTGTACGATTTACTTTCATTTTCTAGTAGTGTTAGAGCTAAAAAGTGTTATTATTGGTTAAAAATATTACATCGTATGTTATGTTTACATAGTTTTATAACTACAAAAATGGATTGTTAGCCACGTATCCAAATTTTAAAATTTGTAACTTAAAAAATTTTGAAGTATGTATTTTTTCTTATAAACAGTCAAATTAAACTCAGTAATTCGAAAATTCGATAAGAGTTATGTTTAAACGCTTAGGTTTAGCTTATAAATGCTATAAGTCAATTAACTAAGTTAAAGATCTAGAATTAAATCTCTGTTTATTTATTTTTTTTTTTTAGTGTTTTATGATAGATTTAAACTCTTATTTCTTGTACTTTTCATAATTTTTCTCTTTGTTTATTTAGTTTTAGGTCAGATTTATTTATTTTTCGATTTTATAGTAAAAAATTTTGCCGTTAATTTAAACACGAATACGTATGCTACATTTATATAGTTTTTTACAATATCACGGGATGATCTACGATCACATTGTTTTCCTGATATATAAAATAATTTGTTTATTTTCTCGTATTTGTATTATCGACGTTTCCTTTTAAAGTTACCTATTTTAATATTTGTAAAAAGGTAAAACCTATAGTTTTCCAAAAAAATTATTATAATTTTAATATAATTTCACTAATTTATATATATTTACAGTTAAAGCTCGATATGGCGAAGTTCACATCCTTCTTCGCTATATAAAACTATTCGGTTATTAGAAGACAAATTTATATGTTCAGACAGTAAAAGGTTTTCGTTATTTCAAAATATTCGCTATGCAAAACTTCAGTATCTTGAGCGTTGACTATACCATAATTTTAGTTTTACCTTATTCACTTATATGTATTTAATAGCATTTTACCTTTCACTATTTTGACAACTGACGTAGAAGTTTCACCCAGCAACCTTATTTCCTTTAACTTTCAAGAATGCATACATAATTTGGAGAAGCTACTGGAAATACAGTTACTAAAGGTAAATGCTAAACAAACGCGATATGAAATTATTAGAAGTAAATGTTGAAATATAAATTATGCGAAGAAACTAATTGTAGTAAATATTTAAATACACACATGGAGAAGTTACTAGATGTTTAACATTGAAATACACGCGACGCAAAGAAGTTGGCGTTGAAACATACACAGTATAAACGACCGGAAGTAAATATTTAGCCAAACAACATGAAAAGGCTACTGGAAATGAAAAGTTAAACGTACACGAGATGGAGAAAGTAAGTATCAATTAATATTTAATGTATTTCGCAACTTAATACTGTTTTTTGATGGTTATGAGGTCTACTGGTCCTGGATGAGGGGTCAGTTACGTCTTCCTCATACTGTTTAAAAATGGTATTATATATTAAATACTTTCGATCGCACACCTAACACTTCTGGCGTTTTTCGTATATGCAAGTATATGAGACATCGGAACTGTTATGAACTCTGTAACATTTTAAAGTATTTCTACGAATCGTGAAATTATTAGAATGTTACAAATAGAGTTCACATGGGCATGTTAATTTGTTAGGCACGTACGATATGTTTCCGTTTAACAAGTTAAAAGTTGCCGTGGGTCCGTACCATTTTTTGATATTATTTCTACGAATCGTGAAATTTTATCAATATGTTACGAAGGCTGGCATTTTCGGATTTGTTACACGAATCGTTGAACAAACCAAAAATGCTTAGCAATATTCTCCGATCTATTTCTACGAATCGTGAAATTCTTCGGGAATATTCTGCATCGGAAGTGTGAAATATGGTTATATAAAGTGTTGAAAAACCTTTATATCTCTGTTGCATTTACTGAGTTAATTGGTCTTATTTAGTATTTTCTTACTAATTTTCTTTTTTTTTTTTTATACAGTATTTCGGAATTTTTTTCTTTTCGAAGGAAATTACTGGATGGAATTGAAAGTTTGTTTTTCCGAAAGCCCAGTCATCAGCAAAAATAAGAACGGAAATCAGAGTCTACCGTACCAAGACCTTAATCAATGCGAGGTTAATTATTTATACTTATCTATTTGCTAATTTCTTTTTCGGACAGTTCTGCAGTTATACGAAATTATTCGACGAAGGCATTATCACATGAATATCTAATAGGTCGCATGAAGGAAATAAATTGAAAAATATTCCTTAAGTCAGAATTCATGTAATATGAACTTTTTAGCTTTTCTTGTATCAAATTTTTTTTGTTTATAGCAAACTAACGAATATATAGGAACAAATTCGTTTTCAAATAGAATATCCAGAGATCATTATAAAAAGCTCGTTTACATTTCATTGGTCGTCAATCGTAAGAAGTTTTGTCAAACATCGAAGGTTTAGTCAAACGAATACGATAAAACTTTTTATCATTGCGAAAATAGATAGCTTCATGGCATCATTAGAGTTAAGTGTATAATTTCTTTTCTTAAATATGGATAATTCTAAATAGGTTTTTTTTTTTTTTTTTTTTGCAAATTGTTGCCTTTAATTCTCTGGTTCTGTTGCTCTTACAAATCACAGCAAGTTCAGTGTATTGAATTTGACGGAAATTCTTGCGAAGTAGTCTACGCTATATTTAGAAATCTCAACTTTACCAAAATATATTGATTTACCTCTCATTTCAATTTGATCAATTCATGAGCCCCGTGAGTCCCATGATTTAATATAGGTAATCATCTAAATTCATTATACTTGTGAAACTTATTCGTTTCAATAGTATTTTGTAACATTTATTATTCTCATTTTTCTTTTAATTTTCTTTTATTAGTATAAATTCACCCGAAATAGGTCTAAGGCAACTATATCCATGTAGTATTTAGTCTTACGATAACTGGCACGGACCGTAACAGACCAGGTAATGTACTTAATAAATAAGTTCCTCCAAATATAACGAATATAGGTTATTATGTATACTTAATCACAGGACTCTCGGGCCACAAACAAATCATGAATTGGTCAAATCCAACTAAATCAAAAGGAACGATTTACCACGAATTAACGAAGCTACGTGTGCGATATTAAAATGAAGGTTTCTAGTGTAGCTATTGTTTCGAGAGTGCGTTAAACAAAATGGCCGGAGGGATGCCAATTCAGCCCCATAATTTACAAGATGAGTTGTAAGCTCCAGGTAATTAATTTAAAGCTTAGTTTTCAAATGAGAATTGATGTCAATACGGATGCACTAATGAGGAGAACGAGTAATAATATTATATCTATAATGTTGGTTTCAGGTTAAAGGCTCACAAAACTCGATCAAGATATTAGCTTATTACAATTTTCACAAGTAGTACACAAGATCTAGAATGCCTGGTAATAATTTGCTTATGTGTAAGAATCAGGTTTTAACGAGCTTAATTGAAGTTTAATGCGTCAAATTAAGTCTCAATATATTTGTTTAATTAATCGTAAGTTAATAAAATGCATTTACTTTATTAAATTTCCAGTTATATTCATTTACCTTTTAGAAAGTCTATACTATGTATTACGACTAGAGGTGCAGTTGAAACTTGAGTCATTGGGATGTGCTGTGTCGAAACTCGGTTATAACTAGTTACAACTTGTTGATTAAAAATGCGGCAAATCAAAACTTGCGAATTCAACGAATATAGTCACGACACAACGTATAATGTATCTTGTATCGCAGCTTATTTATATGGCATAACCTGGGTTGTGTGCCGTAATTTGTAACTAGCACGTATCTTACGTTACGAACGTACGCGCATGCATACAAGATTTTTACGATTCTCACGATTTAAAAATAGTGATGGACAGTAAATAAATATTTTTCAAGAACAAAGCCTATGATTAATTGCTGTTAGAATATATCATAATTGCACTTTAGAATATTAGCGGTTAATTATTACTATATTATATATAATATTAATGAAATTTATTTTATTATATGTACATCTTTACGAACCTTGTAAATTTGAATACTACTTGTAATTGATTATAAATTGACTATAAAGTAACTATATAGTTATTTTATAGTAATTATATTTTACGTTTACTATACATTAGCAATATATTTTTACTATTTTACTATGTATCAGGTGACTGGTGAATAATCAATAAAGTATAATTTAAAATTATACAAAAAAATATATAAGTAAGAATTTTTTAGAGTTTTTAAAAAAACTTTTAAATTATTTTTGATTATAATTTTATCAATACGTACTATGCTTATAAGTTTTATTTGCAGTTTTTTAATCACAAAAGTATGTTTTGCAATTTTTTTAAAAGTTTAAAATAGATTGTAAAACTGCTGTATATATCGTAAGCTCTCAATTTTTTAATGATATATAAAACCAATTTTGATTATATCTAGAAATTTTACTAACTTAATATTATTTATATATGAGTGTCGCTAAAAGAAAACACGAAATTTAAATATAGGTCATATTTAAATTTTCGGGTTTTCTTTTAGAAACACTCATATATTAACTTGACAAATATTGCAATTAATTATTTTAAATAAGTTACTTAAATAACTATTATGGATTATCATTTTTAATAAGACCCTAGCATAACCCATAGGTCTGATTGGCTGTTTAAATCAATTTAATTTTACATTATTTATACAGTTTAAAGTACTTTTTTTAAAAAAATAAAACTACGAAGAATAAACCAAAAAGAAGCATATAAAAAGTTTTATCAGGATTGTAGGACTCCACTATTAAAAATAATCAAAATCTTTTTTTTGTTTTAGAGAAGTTAGAATAATAGCGACTTCTTAAAGATAGATAGAATTAGGTTATTACCATTCTAACTTCTCTAAAACAAAAAGGCCAATAAAACTTTCTATATACTTCTTTTTTGTTTATCATTCATAGTTTCATTTTTTTTAAAAAGTACTTTAAACTGTATAAATAATATAAAATTAAATTGATTTAAACAGTCACCCTAAAAATTTCGCTACCAGCGTTAGGATTAGGTTTTGGGTATTTTTGTTTGATTTTATGTTACATCTGATTCTAAATTTTAACGGCCTGATAGCGAAATTTTGTCGATCACAGCCGTTGGAAAATCAAAATTGAGGTTCAACGGCGCGGCACCTAGATTTAATGAATCCCGC